AATTTTATCTATCACTTTCATAAAAATTTACGTTGCGTGCTGTTATTTATAATGTAGAGGGTGTTTTTTTAACAGTGCAGGGAGGGTTTATACAGTTCGTAAACGAAAAAATAATTGTAAATGAGTATGTGTGTCACGTCATCATCACCTCATTAACCATAATTTTATCTATTATTTTCATAAAAATTTACGTTGCTTGCTGTTATTTATAATGTAAAGGGTGTTTTTTTAACAGTTCAGGGAGGGTTTATACAGTATGTAAACGAAAAAATAATTGTAAATGGGTATGTATGTCACGTCATCATCACCTCATTCACCGTAATTTTATCTATCATTTTCATAAAAATTTACGTTGCTTGCTGTTATTTATAATGTAAAGGGTGTTTTTTTAATAGTGCAGGGAGGATTTATACAGTACGTAAACGAAAAAATAATTGTAAACGAGTATGTATGTCACGTCATCATCACCTCATTCACCGTAATTTTATCTATCACATTCATAAAAATTTACGTTGCTTGCTGTTATTTATAATGTAAAGGGTGTTTTTTTAACTGCAGGGAGGGTTTATACTAGACGTAAACGAAAAGATAATTGTAAATGAGTATGTATGTCACGTCATCATCACATTCACGGTAAGTTTTCCTATCACTTTCATAAAAATTTACGTTGCTTGCTGTTATCTATAATGTTAAGGGTGTTTTTTTAACAGTGCTGGGAGTGTTTATACAGTACGTAAACGAAAAAAATAATTGTAAATGAGTATGCATGTCACGTCATCATCACATTCACGGTAAGTTTTCCTATCACTTTCGTATAAATTTACGCTTGCATGCTGTTATCTATGAAGTAAAGGGTGGTATGTTAACAGTACAGGGACAGTTTATACAGTGTAAACGTAAAAATATATTAAAATAACTATGTACATATAGGCTGATCCTACTTCGCGGATTTCCTGGTTCGCGCAGGGTCCCGGAACCGAACTACCGCGATAAGTGAGGCAACACTGAATGTGTGTGTATATATATATATATATATATATATATATATATATATATATATATATATATATATATATATATATATATATATATATATATATATATATAACCAATTAAGCACATTACATATGTGAAAACATGAATAATTTTTTACCCCGACCGGGTCTCGAACCTAGGACTTATGATTACTAAGTCAAGGTGCTACCACTACACCACAGAAGGTTAAAAGGAATCCAACCTTATAGCTTATATCTGCTATACTTAGGAATGAACGCATTCTAACTGAATGTCACTATGTTCATATTAAAGATTCCCCAACCTCACTCGTGGCTTCATTTTAGCATTTAATTCAATTCCCAATCTCATTTGGGCCATGAAATAACCAATTAAGCACATTACATATGTGAAAACATGAATCATTTTTTACCCCGACCGGGACTCGAACCTAGGACTTATGATTACTAAGTCAAGGCGCTACCACTACACCACAGAAGGTTAAAAGGAATCCAACCTTATAGCTTATATCTGCTATACTTAGGAATGAACGCATTCTAACTGAATGCCACTATGTTCATATTACAGATTCCCCAACCTCACTAGTGGCTTCATTTTAGCATTTAATTCAATTCCCAATCTCATTCGGGCCATGAAATAACCAATTAAGCACATTACATATGTGAAAACATGAATCATTTTTTACCCCGACCGGGACTCGAACCTAGGACTTATGATTACTAAGTCAAGGCGCTACCACTACACCACAGAAGGTTAAAAGGAATCCAACCTTATAGCTTATATCTGCTATACTTAGGAATGAACGCATTCTAACTGAATGCCACTATGTTCATATTACAGATTCCCCAACCTCACTCGTGGCTTCATTTTAGCATTTAATTCAATTCCCGATCTAATTCGGGCCATGAAATAACCAATTAAGCACATTACATATGTGAAAACATGAATCATTTTTTACCCCGACCGGGACTCGAACCTAGGACTTATGATAACTAAGTCAAGGCGCTACCACTACACCACAGAAGGGTAAAAGGAATCCAACCTTATAGCTTATATCTGCTATACTTAGGAATGAACGCATTCTAACTGAATGCCACTATGTTCATATTACAGATTCCCCAACCTCACTCGTGGCTTCATTTTAGCATTTAATTCAATTCCCAATCTCATTCGGGCCATGAAATAACCAATTAAGCACATTACATATGTGAAAACATGAATCATTTTTTTTGCCCCGACCGGGACTCGAACCTAGGACTTATGATTACTAAGTCAAGGCGCTACCACTACACCACAGAAGGTTAAAAGGAATCCAACCTTATAGCTTATATCTGCTATACTTAGGAATGAGCGCATTCTAACTGAATGCCACTATGTTCATATTACAGATTCCCAACCTCACTCGTGGCTTCATTTTAGCATTTAATTCAATTCCCAATCTCATTTGGGCCATGAAATAACCAATTAAGCACATTACATATGTGAAAACATGAATCATTTTTTTTTTACCCCGACCGGAACTCGAACCTAGGACTTATGATTACTAAGTCAAGGCGCTACCACTACACCACAGAAGGTTAAAAGGAATCCAACCTTATAGCTTATATCTGCTATACTTATGAATGAACGCATTCTAACTGAATGCCACTATGTTCATATTACAGATTCCCCAACCTCACTCGTGGCTTCATTTTAGCATTTAATTCAATTCCCAATCTCATTCGGGCCATGAAATAACCAATTAAGCACATTACATATGTGAAAACATGAATCATTTTTTTTACCCCGACCGGGACTCGAACCTAGGACTTATGATTACTAAGTCAAGGCGCTACCACTACACCACAGAAGGTTAAAAGGAATCCAACCTTATAGCTTATATCTGCTATACTTAGGAATGAACGTATTCTAACTGAATGCCACTATGTTCATATTACAGATTCCCCAACCTCACTCGTGGCTTCATTTTAGCATTTAATTCAATTCCCAATCTCATTCGGGCCATGAAATAACCAATTAAGCACATTACATATGTGAAAACATGAATCATTTTTTTTTTACCCCGACCGGGACTCGAACCTAGGACTTATGATTACTAAGTCAAGGCGCTACCACTACACCACAGAAGGTTAAAAGGAATCCAACCTTATAGCTTATATCTGCTATACTTAGGAATGAATGCATTCTAACTGAATGCCACTATGTTCATATTACAGATTCCCCAACCTCACTCGTGGCTTCATTTTAGCATTTAATTCAATTCCCAATCTCATTCGGGCAATGAAATAACCAATTAAGCACATTACATATGTGAAAACATGAATCATTTTTTGTTTACCCTGACCGGGACTCGAACCTAGGACTTATGATTACTAAGTCAAGGCGCTACCACTACACCACAGAAGGTTAAAAGGAATCCAACCTTATAGCTTATATCTGCTATACTTAGGAATGAACGCATTCTAACTGAATGCCACTATGTTCATATTACAGATTCCCCAACCTCACTCGTGGCTTCCTTTTAGCATTTAATTCAATTCCCGATCTCATTCGGGCCATGAAATAACCAATTAAGCACATTACATATGTGAAAACATGAATCATTTTTTACCCCGACCGGGACTCGAACCCAGGACTTATGATTACTAAGTCAAGGCGCTACCACTACACCACAGAAGGTTAAAAGGAATCCAACCTTATAGCTTATATCTGCTATACTTAGGAATGAATGCATTCTAACTGAATGCCACTATGTTCATATTACAGATTCCCCAACCTCACTCGTGGCTTCATTTTAGCATTTAATTCAATTCCCAATCTCATTCGGGCCATGAAATAACCAATTAAGCACATTACATATGTGAAAACATGAATCATTTTTTGTTTACCCTGACCGGGACTCGAACATAGGACTTATGATTACTAAGTCAAGGCGCTACCACTACACCACAGAAGGTTAAAAGGAATCCAACCTTATAGCTTATATCTGCTATACTTAGGAATGAACGCATTCTAACTGAATGCCACTATGTTCATATTACAGATTCCCCAACCTCACTCGTGGCTTCATTTTAGCATTTAATTCAATTCCCGATCTCATTCGGGCCATGAAATAACCAATTAAGCACATTACATATGTGAGAACATGAATCATTTTTTACCCCGACCGGGACTCGAACCTAGGACTTATGATTACTAAGTCAAGGCGCTACCACTACACCACAGAAGGTTAAAAGGAATCCAACCTTATAGCTTATATCTGCTATACTTAGGAATGAACGCATTCTAACTGAATGCCACTATGTTCATATTACAGATTCCCCAACCTCACTCGTGGCTTCATTTTAGCATTTAATTCAATTCCCAATCTCATTTGGGCCATGAAATAACCAATTAAGCACATTACATATGTGAAAACATGAGTCTTTTTTTTTTTTTACCCCGACCAGGACTCGAACCTAGGACTTATGATTACTAAGTCAAGGCGCTACCACTACACCACAGAAGGTTAAAAGGAATCCAACCTTATAGCTTATATCTGCTATACTTAGGAATGAACGTATTCTAACTGAATGCCACTATGTTCATATTACAGATTCCCCAACCTCACTCGTGGCTTCATTTTAGTATTTAATTCAATTCCCAATCTCATTCGGGCCATGAAATAACCAATTAAGCACAATACATATGTGAAAACATGAATCATTTTTTTTTTACCCCGACCGGGACTCGAACCTAGGACTTATGATTACTAAGTCAAGGCGCTACCACTACACCACAGAAGGTTAAAAGGAATCCAACCTTATAGCTTATATCTGCTATACTTAGGAATGAACGCATTCTAACTGAATGCCACTATGTTCATATTACAGATTCACCAACCTCACTCGTGGCTTCATTTTAGCATTTAATTCAATTCCCAATCTCATTCATGCCATGAAATAACCAATTAAGCACATTACATATGTGAAAATATGAATCATTTTTTACCCTGCCCGGGACTCGAACCCAGGACTTATGATTACTAAATAAACGCGCTACCACTACACCACAGAAGGTTAAAAGGAATCCAACCATATAGCTTATATCTGCTATACTTAGGAATGAATGCATTCTAACTGAATGCCACTATGTTCATATTACAGATTCGCCAACCTCACTCGTGGCTTCATTTTAGCATTTAATTCAATTCCCAATCTCATTCGGGCCATGAAATAACCAATTAAGCACATTACATATGCGAAAACATGAATCATTTTTTTTTACCCTGACCGGGACTCGAACCTAGGACTTATGATTACTAAGTCAAGGCGCTACCACTACACCACAGAAGGTTAAAAGGAATCCAACCTTATAGCTTATATCTGCTATACTTAGGAATGAACGCATTCTAACTGAATGCCACTATGTTCATATGACAGATTTCCCAACCTCACTCGTGGCTTCATTTTAGCATTTAATTCAATTCCCAATCTCATTCGGGCCATGAAATAACCAATTAAGCACATTACATATGTGAAAATATGAATAATTTTTTACCCCGACCGGGACTCGAACCCAGGACTTATGATTACTAAGTCAAGGCGCTACCACTACACCACAGAAGGTTAAAAGGAATCCAACCTTATAGCTTATATCTGCTATACTTAGGAATGAATGCATTCTAACTGAATGCCACTATGTTCATATTACAGATTCCCCAACCTCACTCGTGGCTTCATTTTAGCATTTAATTCAATTCCCAATCTCATTCGGGCCATGAAATAACCAATTAAGCACATTACATATGTGAAAACATGAATCATTTTTTACCCCGACCGGGACTCGAACCTAGGACTTATGATTACTAAGTCAAGGCGCTACCACTACACCACAGAAGGTTAAAAGGAATCCAACCTTATAGCTTATATCTGCTATACTTAGGAATGAATGCATTCTAACTGAATGCCACTATATTCATATTACAGATTCCCCAACCTCACTCGTGGCTTCATTTTAACATTTAATTCAATTCCCAATCTCATTCGGGCCATGAAATAACCAATTAAGCACATTACATATGTGAAAACATGAATCATTTTTTTTTTACCCTGACTGGGACTCGAACCTAGGACTTATGATTACTAAGTCAAGGCGCTACCACTACATCACAGAAGGTTAAAAGGAATCCAACCTTATAGCTTATATCTGCTATACTTAGGAATGAACGCATTCTAACTGAATGCCACTATGTTCATATTACAGATTCCCCAACCTCACTCGTGGCTTCATTTTAGCATTTAATTCAATTCCCGATCTCATTCGGGCCATGAAATAACCAATTAAGCACATTACATATGTGAAAACATGAATCATTTTTTACCCCGACCGGGACTCGAACCTAGGACTTATGATTACTAAGTCAAGGCGCTACCACTACACCACAGAAGGTTAAAAGGAATCCAACCTTATAGCTTATATCTGCTATACTTAGGAATGAACGCATTCTAACTGAATGCCACTATGTTCATATTACAGATTCCCCAACCTCACTCGTGGCTTCATTTTAGCATTTAATTCAATTCCCAATCTCATTTGGGCCATGAAATAACCAATTAAGCACATTACATATGTGAAAACATGAGTCTTTTTTTTTTTTACCCCGACCGGGACTCGAACCTAGGACTTATGATTACTAAGTCAAGGCGCTACCACTACACCACAGAAGGTTAAAAGGAATCCAACCTTATAGCTTATATCTGCTATACTTAGGAATGAACGTATTCTAACTGAATGCCACTATGTTCATATTACAGATTCCCCAACCTCACTCGTGGCTTCATTTTAGTATTTAATTCAATTCCCAATCTCATTCGGGCCATGAAATAACCAATTAAGCACAATACATATGTGAAAACATGAATAATTTTTTTTTTACCCCGACCGGGACTCGAACCTAGGACTTATGATTACGAAGTCAAGGCGCTACCACTACACCACAGAAGGTTAAAAGGAATCCAACCTTATAGCTTATATCTGCTATACTTAGGAATGAACGCATTCTAACTGAATGCCACTATGTTCATATTACAGATTCACCAACCTCACTCGTGGCTTCATTTTAGCATTTAATTCAATTCCCAATCTCATTCATGCCATGAAATAACCAATTAAGCACATTACATATGTGAAAATATGAATCATTTTTTACCCCGACCGGGACTCGAACCCAGGACTTATGATTACTAAGTCAACGCGCTACCACTACACCACAGAAGGTTAAAAGGAATCCAACCTTATAGCTTATATCTGCTATACTTAGGAATGAATGCATTCAAACTGAATGCCACTATGTTCATATTACAGATTCGCCAACCTCACTCGTGGCTTCATTTTAGCATGTAATTCAATTCCCAATCTCATTCGGGCCATGAAATAACCAATTAAGCACATTACATATGTGAAAACATGAATCATTTTTTTTTTACCCTGACCGGGACTCGAACCTAGGACTTATGATTACTAAGTCAAGGCGCTACCACTACACCACAGAAGGTTAAAAGGAATCCAACCTTATAGCTTATATCTGCTATACTTAGGAATGAACGCATTCTAACTGAATGCCACTATGTTCATATTACAGATTTCCCAACCTCACTCGTGGCTTCATTTTAGCATTTAATTCAATTCCCAATCACTTTCGGGCCATGAAATAACCAATTAAGCACATTACATATGTGAAAACATGAATCATTTTTTACCCCGACCAGGACTCGAACCTAGGACTTATGATTACTAAGTCAAGGCGCTACCACTACACCACAGAAAGTTAAAAGGAATCCAACCTTATTGCTTATATCTGCTATACTTAGGAATGAACGCATTCTAACTGAATGCCACGATGTTCATATTACAGATTCCCCAACCTCACTCGTGGCTTCATTTTAGCATTTAATTCAATTCCCGATCTCATTCGGGCCATGAAATAACCAATTAAGCACATTACATATGTGAAAACATGAATCATTTTTTACCCCGACCGGGACTCGAACCTAGGACTTATGATTACTAAGTCAAGGCGCTACCACTACACCACAGAAGGTTAAAAGGAATCCAACCTTATAGCTTATATCTGCTATACTTAGGAATGAACGCATTCTAACTGAATGCCACTATGTTCATATTACAGATTCCCCAACCTCACTCGTGGCTTCATTTTAGCATTTAATTCAATTCCCAATCTCATTCGGGTCATGAAATAACCAATTAAGCACATTACATATGTGAAAACATGAATCATTTTTTACCCCGACCGGGACTCGAACCTAGGACTTATGATTACTAAGTCAAGGCGCTACCACTACACCACAGAAGGTTAAAAGGAATCCAACCTTATAGCTTATATCTGCTATACTTAGGAATGAACGCATTCTAACTGAATGCCACTATGTTCATATTACAGATTCCCCAACCTCACTTGTGGCTTCATTTTAGCATTTAATTCAATTCCCAATCTCATTTGGGCCATGAAATAACCAATTAAGCACATTACATATGTGAAAACATGAATCATTTTTTTTTTACCCCGACGAGGACTCGAACCTAGGACTTATGATTACTAAGTCAAGGCACTACCACTACACCACAGAAGGTTAAAAGGAATCCAACCTTACAGCTTATATCTGCTATACTTAGGAATGAACGCATTCTAACTGAATGCCACTATGTTCATATTACAGATTCCCCAACCTCACTCGTGGCTTCATTTTGGCATTTAATTCAATTCCCAATCTCATTCGGGCCATGAAATAACCAATTAAGCACATTACATATCTGAAAACATGAATCATCTTTTTTACCCCGACCGGGACTCGAACCTAGGACTTATGATTACTAAGTCAAGGCGCTACCACTACACCACAGAAGGTTAAAAGGAATCCAACCTTATAGCTTATATCTGCTATACTTAGGAATGAACGTATTCTAACTGAATGCCACTATGTTAATATTACAGATTCCCCAACCTCACTCGTGGCTTCATTTTAGCATTTAATTCAATTCCCAATCTCATTCGGGCCATGAAATAACCAATTAAGCACATTACATATGTGAAAACATGAATCATTTTTCTTTTACCTCGACCGGGACTCGAACCTAGGACTTATGATTACTAAGTCAAGGCGCTACCACTACACCACAGAAGGTTAAAAGGAATCCAACCTTATAGCCTATATCTGCTATACTTAGGAATGAACGCATTCTAACTGAATGCCACTATGTTCATATTACAGATTCCCCAACCTCACTCGTGGCTTCAATTTAGCATTTGATTCAATTCCCAATCTCATTCGGGCCATGAAATAACCAATTAAGCACATTACATATGTGGAAATATGAATCATTTTTTACCCCGACCGGGACTCGAACCCAGGACTTATGATTACTAAGTCAAGGCGCTACCACTACACCACAGAAGGTTAAAAGGAATCCAACCTTATAGCTTATATCTGCTATACTTAGGAATGAGCGCATTCTAACTGAATGCCACTATGTTCATATTACAGATTCCTCAACCTCACTCGTGGCTTCATTTTAGCATTTAATTCAATTCCCAATCTCTTTCGGGCCATGAAATAACCAATTAAGCACATTACATATGTGAAAACATGAATCATTTTTTACCCCGACCGGGACTCGAACCTAGGACTTATGATTACTAAGTCAAGGCGCTACCACTACACCACAGAAAGTTAAAAGGAATCCAACCTTATAGCTTATATCTGCTATACTTAGGAATGAACGCATTCTAACTGAATGCCACTATGTTCATATCACAGATTCCCCAACCTCACTCGTGGCTTCATTTTAGCATTTAATTCAATTCCCGATCTCATTCGGGCCATGAAATAACCAATTAAGCACATTACATATGTGAAAACATGAATCATTTTTTACCCCGACCGGGACTCGAACCTAGGACTTATGATTACTAAGTCAAGGCGCTACCACTACACCACAGAAGGTTAAAAGGAATCCAACCTTATAGCTTATATCTGCTATACTTAGGAATGAACGCATTCT